CTGGAATTGACCCTGGAGAAAGGAGGTGAACCAGGAAACACAGTGCCACCCATTCCCGGTCCCTTGAACCAATCAAAGAAGGATACTGTGATCAACAGTATTGAAAGCAGCAGAGAGATCAAGTAAGGCAAGGGTGGATGCACAAACTCCATTCCAGGTTAGAAAACAGATAAAAATTGTCCAGTATAGTGGGATCCACTGATGGCTTCTTGAGCTGGGAGCAAACCTCTTTAAGAGGTAACAAAAAAGCAAACCCCTCATTCAGGGAAGAGTTCACCATTGCTAGAATCCATTCACACACCACTATCACAATCCTGCACCAAGTTGACAGGTTACAAGGGTTTCACAGTTTGATGGGCTTGGTGTTCAGTCCTCCAGACTGAGGTTGCTGCATCACGATCTTTTTGGACTGCCATCTCCTTTTGGGATTGTACCTTCTTCACTTTGGTTCCCCGCCTCGATGTTTGCACACACGGATACCTTCAGATTGCTTTCCCACATTTTCTGATACTAATGTAGATCATTCTCCCCCCCCCTCCTTTATTGTCTCATTGTTGCTCTGATTCCACAAGAATCAAACTAAGAACAGATTGTTCCTTTGTACCTATTTCTGCTGTAGAAAATTTTGTATCAAGTTGAATTTCACAAAGGCAAAAAATGCTTCTTTAGAATTGGGTAGCTTCATTCCAAAGTGCCTTATTTCACCGCAACTTAAAAATTGTAGATAACAAAAAATGGCAAGGGAGGTGTCTTGCAACACTGTTGGGGGGCTGGGGGATGGTGGAGGTGGGAATGTAAGAGGAATATGCTTCACCACATCTGGGCAGAAATGATGCCCCCTGGGAGATGTAAAGGTTGAATGGAGCAAGGCCCTTCTAGAGCAGACTTGTGGCAAAGAAAGTTTATTTACTTAACAGGCCATTGCTGGATCAACTGCAAGATTTAAAAAAAAAACCCAGCTGCTGACTAGTGGAGAACATAACAGAATATCAATTCAGCATAAAATGGTTGCAGAGGACAGTGACCGGCCATGAGAGGAAGGGATGTGCTAGGCATTGTAGCAACTATAAACCAACCACTTAGAAGGCTTCAAATGTTTTAAAATGGAAAATAGCAGTTTTGAAGTGGAGCAGGAGAGAGTCCATTTGCAGTAGGCTGGGAGTCAGTGGAGGGTGACGTCCATTCTAGCAGTCAGGAAGTGGTGGGTTTCCCATTTTGGGTATGAGGCAAACCAAAAGAGCAAATCTGTCTTTGGTTAGGATGGAGAATCCAGGGTGGCCATCAAATACCTTAGTATTGCCATGGGTCTGGTCTGGTTTGCTGGACCACATAGTTGGGGTCGGAGAACTGAAATAGAGGTCATATCACAGTCCCCAACTGGGTCCTCTCCTAATGTCTTGTGTGTTTTATGACCCTGGCTGTGTCCTTATTGGCAGTTCTACAGACTCTGTGTCTCCTCAGCCATTTATCTGCATTCTGACTTTTATGCTCCCCAGAACTTAATACAAACATAGGCAAGGCCAAAAAGAGAAAAAGAACAACAATCCTGTCTCTCATTACAAAATGCAGCTTCATGTTTCAGACTTCATCAAAGTCATAAAGCAATTCAAAATTATAGCAAAAACACTACGTTGGCAAATACAGGAAAAATACAGAAATGCCTAACAGGACACACATTAAAACATTCTAACCATCTGGCTGTTTGAAATGTGTTTTGAGGGAGGAGAGTGAATTATAAAGAGGATTACAGTTTGCAGAATTTATTCCATTCATATTTACAATATGCATATGGAGTTGGCCCTCAACCCAAAATAAATTTATTTACTTATATTTATATATATTTATCCTGCCTTTATTATTTTTATACTGTAAGTAACTCAAGGCTGCAAACATACCTAATACTCCTTCCTTCTATTTATTTTCTCCACAGCAACAACCCTGTGAGGTGAATTGAGCTGAGAGAGAATGATTGGCCCAGTCATCCAGCCAGTTTTCATGCCTAAAATGGGACTAGAACTCACAGTCTCCTGGTTTCTAGCCTGGAGCTTTAAGAACTACATAAAACTTGTATAATCTTCAAGAAATCTGGGACTTTCTTTGAGCTATTCTCAGATTTATGGCAGCTGATTTGAGGAATGAATATAACTCCTTAATGTATAAAACTTTGTGCAATTCAAGATATGTCAACAAAGTATGAGTTGTAAGAATAAATATTGCATGGACATTTTTCTTTTTTTGCATGGTGAAGAACTCTCTGTTAAGTTTGATTTCTGCTGTTGGGAATTGCATATTTGGGCCACAAATTAGTTCTGTGGGTTCATGCACCTTTGCACTTTTCTTTCTGATCCTATGGCCAAAATGTGGCGACTATGACATGGCTACTATGTTCAATATATATGATTTAAGTCTTACTGATGAACCAAATTTTAGATACTACAACAGACTTCCCAGTTCCTGGT